TTTTTTTTTTTGCAGAACAAAAGCGAACTGTATCAAACCAGCAAATGATTCAGCCACAGTGTATCGGTTGATACATAGTTTACGGTTTAAAAAAATGTACTCTATGTTAAAAATTAATAGTTAATCAAAAAATAAAAGAAAAAAAACTTTTTTTTTTTTTACAGAAAAACGATTCAACAAATTTTTAGCTTATTCTTTTGTTCCTCTATTTTTGCCTCCTCTTTCTTCGTTATAAAAAAATAACCAATTTTACAACAAATATTATACAAACCACGATCTTTTTCCCAAAGTTCAACAGTAACATTGGATACTTCATAATCGCCACATCCAACTTGACCTTTAACAGTAACTGATTTATAGCTGCCAAGACCAAAGACTACTTGGATAATCAGTATAGCAGCTAAGCAGCAACGAAGAAGTACCATTGCTAAAAAATATATTAAATAATTCTATATAAATATTAGAATAGCACAAATTTTGATAAACTTTTCGCATGCAAAACCGCTAACAGCAGTTATCATTTTATTTATAAAAGCAATAAATTTACAGAAATATAAATCTAGAAAAAAAAAAAAAAGAAAGGAAAACATATGGGGGGCAAAGAAAAGATGGTAATTTTCACTTTTCTTCTCAATTATTAATTGAATCGAAAGCTGACTGACTACTGTTCAGACAGTATAACAGTCAAAAAAAAAAATTTCTGATTTTTTGTTTTTTCAAAACAAAATCTTTGTTTTTTTTTTTTTTTTGCTGCTGAAAAAGAATCAAGAAAAATAGACGAAAACAAAAACATTGCGGAACAAAAAATTCTGCTAAATAGGCAATGAGAATCTACCAAATTTTTTATAGCAACGAATAAATTCATTAGTTTATACACTGACAACTAACCAACTCTGTGTCAGTGTGCTGATAAGGAGAACGATAATTTTTTTTGTACAACAAACTATGATAACGATCAGATGAAGCTGATGACATTGAATGATGATGATGAAGATAAGAGTTTTTTTTTCTAACTAGACCTTTCTGTATCAATTCAAAGAAAGCAGTTGTTCTAGCTAAGCATTAAGTCTAAATGTCATTTAGCAACAATCTTATCAACACTTTTTTTTTCTCCCAACCCCCCCCCCTCCTATCTAACAGCACCAACATCAGCCAATATAGAAGCAATAAAAGCAACGATAGCAGCAACAGCAACAGCAGTAAAGACGATAATAATGATCAAATAACAACAGTAAAATTGCTGATTTATATAAAATATTCATTTAATATATGGATAAAT